GGTGATCACAGAGGCAGCGCAAGCCATGCTAAAGAGAATGATGACATGTGACCCATTGTACCACATGCAATACCTCTCAAGCAGCCAGGGCAATGATAAAGAGATAATGTAAATGTGTCAAAGGGATAGCTATTATAAGGATGGTTTAAGCTATATTTATGTATATTTAAGCTACTTTGGGTGTCAACATTTATTTAGGAATTCTTGTAAACTGTACCCAAAATAATGTTTGTGCGGTTCCGTGACCGTCTCCCCTTCGCTTAATGAATGATAATGGTGCCAGGTTAAAAGAAGGGTTGTGTGCATGCAACTCTGTTATACCTCATTCACCAACGCAACTTCGGTTCAAGCTCCGTGCTAGAGCTTTTCAGGTTCAGAACCAGTTCTTCGGTTTAACTCTGGCTCTTTTCACACCGCCCAGAGTCCGACTGGTAATGCGTCGTTGCGTCATCGTTTGCGTCATGACGTAACCGTTTGCGTGCCTGCTTCATAAAGCCAAACCGCGCGGATGAAATCAGTTGCATTCATTTCTTATGGCTCTATCTGCAGCTTTTCCGGAGTCATTTCTGTGGTTTAGTTATATTCTTATAAAAAAGTGTACTCGTGTCAATAAAGGTTTTTTTAAAACACAACTGCTTCCGAGGTTGGTCTTATTTCTTAAGGTGGACTGAACCATGAGTGTGGAGTAACGTTGTATCTTTCATTTAAATGAACTGTAACCTTCACCCAGGTATTTAACAGCTGTTCTCAAATGAACACGTGAAGTAAAGTTTAATATTTATAGTTTTATAGATTTATAATGAGTTATAATGAGAGGTGATCAACGTGAATGCTCAGGTTCCACCTTAACACGCAGACACGTTGCTTCACCATGAGCAGAAACCTTTATATATACAGTCTATGGCAGAAACTCTGAAACTCTTGTTAAGTTTCTCCATCGTTGTGTACAAACTGGATAAAACGCGGGCTTTTTGTTGTTGTTCAGGAGTTGATCTGTCTCTGCCCCTGCCCCCGCCTCGACGTAAGTGTGACGTATGTGGTGCTTTTGCTCTGGCCGGACAATTTTTTGGTGCTTGAAACAAACCGGATTCCGGAGCGAAGAGGCTGCTCCGCTGCGGTGTGAAGAGGAAAACCCGGTGCTTTTCAAGCTCCAGCTCCGAACCGGCCCTAAAACACCGTTGGTGTGAATGAGGTATTAGTGATTGCTAACTCACCAACAAGTCCTGCCAAGATACTATCAGCAGGTGATACCCTGGCCTGCACACAGCAGACCATGTTGATTCCCGACATGCATAGGCTATAGGCCTATAGATTTCATTTTACATACTTTTGTAATCTTATCCTATTATTTTTTATATTTATAGTTATTTGCTCTTTTCGCAAACCATACAACTAATAACTTACCTAGCTGTGAATGAAAATGCTACCGAACTGAGCGCTTGTTAGCTTAGCTGGCACATACCTTTGAGGTGAAGGAAAGCAGGCTGCTGTCTTTATTGTTGCACTGACAACCAGTTGAATCGTGGTAGTCGTTGCATGTCAGTAAGCTGTGTACAAAGCAGAGGACACCAGTAGATTTGTTAGCTTGCAGAATCCCGTTAGCTCGTGGCTAACTGCTGCTCGCTCTGGTTATATGAAGTCTTTTAGGGAAGCGCTTGCGTATTTAATGTTAAAATGAAAGGGTCCCATTTTTAGAGAGTCATCAAATGCGGCGCTGGTCTGCGGTGGCGGGCTTCCAGCAGGCCGTTGCTGCGCTCTGCCGGCTGTGAACACCGGAGCTGTGTCGAAGCATAGGGAACATAAGGCTTGTTTGAGACAAGCGAGACCTGCGCAGACCTGCGCAATTTCGATCAACGTCTTGCTAGTGCGTTGCATGCATGGATGTATAATAAGAACGTTGCATGATGGTTAGTCATTTTGTCCGACTTGCTCTGGAGGCTCGCCTACATGAGACGTTGGGGGACCAAGACGCCCGCAGCCTTGAGAGCGAGGCGCGGCGAGGTGGCGCAGTTCCTCTCCACGGGCTGCGGAAGCGAAATGCTTGATGGGAAACGACTCGCTGGTATCTCGAGCTGAGCGCTCGTTGGTGGTTTTTACCACGTGCTGCTGATGAAACTCTCCAATTGGCTCGGCAAAAGTTTGTTGTTGTTTTGTGTCAGTTTTACTTCGCCCCCTCCATTAAAATTGTTCATCATTGTTACACAATGTTTATCATCATGAAATTAATATCTATATATTTGTATACTATACTTGCTTGCACTGCTTACCGTTTCATACTTTATATATCTTAGCATATTCATACACACTGTTCATACTGCTCACAGGCTGCTGTGTATATGCATACCCCTCACTGTTTATTCATCATTCAATTCATTCTATATTTTATTCTGTAGATTGTGTACATTACTTTTCACTTTACTGCTTGTTGCACCTGGTTAGAAGCTAAACTGCATTTCGTTGTCTCAGTAGGCCTACCTGTAATCTGTGCAATAATAATAAAGTTTAATCTAATCTTGAGCAGGAACAAATGTATTTACTTAGTACATATCTGACATTAACGATTAAACACATGTGTGCATTCTTTATAAATGCAAACCGAGTCAAGTCGACTCCGGAGGTGGCGGTATGTACCTTAAAGTTGTTTGCAATCCGCCAAAAAAACGAGAGAAGAAGAAGAAGAAGGCGAAGGCGAAGGCGAAGGCGAAGAAGAAGAAGCCGACTCGGAGCTGTCCGACTCAGTGTTGCCAACTTGGCGATTTTCTCGTTAAATTTGGCGGCTTTCCAAACCCTCCGGCTACTTATTTGTGTCAAAAGCGACTAACGACTAATCTAACGATTTATAATGGTGTTATTAGGGACTTCTGGTGTTTGGAGACTCACGTATTGTTCTGCAGTTAACGAGCCGCGGGTGCTGCCGTGAGCCCCGCCTCCCTCCCATAGTACTCACAGGCGCTCAGACTGACAGTTGTCTGGCCGCAGCTGCAGTCAGAGCAGAGAGGAGACAACCGCGTCGATACTGCAAATGAATTGTGCATGCGCCAACTGCCAAGCCGTCCTGGTTTTGAGCGGGATTTAAATGTTGAATGTAAATGTTTCTTCACTCACTTTCACACTATAATAAATAACTGCCTTTGCTTTGCCTCACACAGCCTCAGTCACTCAATCACCTCGTCCACTGTGTGTGTGCCTCTCTGTGACAAGCTAAACATCATGGCACAGTCTAAATTGTATTCTCAAAAATACAGAAAGGAGTGGGAATCAAACCCTGAGTATAAAGGATGGTTGAAGCCATTTATTGGAGATGACACACGGGCATACTGCCTTTATTGTAAGGGGGATTTCTATGCCAAACTGTCATGTTAAAACCCCAAAACATACTCAAAAGGCAAAGACATTTCTGATCTACTGTCGTCTGGATTTAACTCTGGTGGTTTCAAGTTTTGATCCTTGAAGGGTTGGGAACATTTTTTGTACTCCCCTCTACCATGCTCTGTCCTACAGCCGCCATTACATGATATGCAAATTAGGCGATGACGTCATTTAGCGACTTATGGCGACTTTCAGGACAGCTAATAGCTACTTTCCTTACTATGGAGTTGGCAACACTGGTCCGACTTCAGGCGAGCTTTTTGAGACCTCCCCCGGCTGCGATCGGCTACTCTCGTCTACTTTCGAGGCGAGCCGCAACGCGTCTCAAACAAGCCTATAGAGTTATGGTTTTATTCATAGGTCACAGACTACAGTAACCAGTCAATACTGTACATTGAATCTTCAGGCGGAATGTACGGCATTTCTGAGTGCAGAGACAGGAAGTGGTTGTTTTTCACACCCAAAGAGGATAATGGGAACAAAAGATCAATGGCAGTTGCCATGTGGAGAAGTTCCAACAATGAGAGGAAAGGTCATTTCCATTTCTAAGTCTGAGCCTATTTTATAATTATGTCTAATTACCCTGAGGTCATTTCAAACCTTTCATATTTGTAGACTTCCCAGTTGACAGATTTGTTAATTTATCCCTACGTTCCGAAAAATCTAAAGCATTTACAAAAGACCAGGTAAATGATAAATGCATAAATAAAACATTGATTGACGTTTTTTCAGAGAAAACTTTTGGAAGACTTTTTTAAAGATTATTTTGGATTATGCATCTAAAGTAGTTTTGATGTTAAAAAGTGCTGTAGCTTGGCACAGTCTGCCCATCAGCTGTGGCTTTCACTGTTGGTGGTTTGGTGTGGTTGTTGCTTAGTTTTGTATGGCTAAATGTTTTCCTTTAGGCCTATAGCACATGTAAGGTTGTTGATACAGTCACAGTGCAGCTCGATGATGGTTTGTGGCTGTCTGTGTTGACATTTGTTGGTCCAGAACTAGTTACATCCGGGTAGCTAATGCTTTGCTGTTGTTCCAACCCACTGTGTGCTTTACAGTATATAGTTTAGAATATCATACATACTAGTAGACCTACTATTGTTCTTAAATGTCTTTTGCTTTTAATCTGTAAAGCACTTTGAATCGCCACATGCTGAAAAGTGCTATATAAATAAAATTGCCTTGCCTTGCCTAGGTCAAATCTTTCCCTTGAGAATTAGTTTACAAGAATTTTCTCTGATTTGTTTAACATGATGCACACAACTTCCATCCAATTGGCGACTTTGTGTATAACTTGGATCCCAAGCTTAAGCTTGAATTAGCATGAATGGGCTCAGCAAGTTTCATGGCAATGTAAGAAATAAAAATCGCTACTTCCTTTTTACCTGATGTTGTTTCATACCTTTGTTGTTTCATACCTGATGTTGTTTCATACCTTTCGTTCTGTGACACACATGGACTTACTATTGATGTCATGTTACAGATCAGTCACACAAATAGTTTCCCTTGCTATATATATTCATCAACCTGTCAACATATTTCTACCTCTAGCCAGAGCAAGAACTGCCATTACATTGCTGATAACAGAACTTGCCTGAATCATGATGTACTGTGTGTATGTGTGTGTTCTGCAGGTATGCCCCCTTTATACCCTATGAGTCAGCTCTGTATGTTCTGTGATCTGGAGCTGTCCTCCTGCAGTGGTACTGGGACCTGCATGTCCAACTGCTCCATCACATCCACCTGTGACGACAGCAACGAGGTCTGTGTCTCGATCTGGTAGGTACCTGAGAGCAGAAAACTGCCTTTAACTCTTAGATGTGACTCACTTAATAGGTTTATATATATATATATATATATATATATATATATATATATATAGTTTTAACCATTACATCTGTGCTCTGTCTGTCTGTTAGGAGGAAGAATGAGAAAGGCTTCTCCATTGAAACCCTGTGTCATGACCCGTCCAAGCCGCTCTATGGTGTTATGCTGGAAGACTACAACAGCTCCACCTGTGTGATGAAGGAGAAGAACACAACGAGTGGAATGGCTCACTTCTGCTCCTGTACTGACGAGGAGGAGTGCAACGACAAAATGTTATTCTCTCCCAGTGAGTACATAAAACAAATGCCTTGTATTTACTTTTTTACCCCTGATCTAGTTTTCGAGTCATGTATTATTGTTGCGTTTGTTGTACTTGATTTTGCAATGTTCCTCTTCACCGCTGTCTGGTAGAGAGTGGAGAGTTGTGGAGTTGACGTCAGCTACACTCGGTGAATGAATGCTTTGCAAGTAAAATCACCACAAATAAAAATAATAATGCGTTTTCTGGAAACTCAAAGAAACTTTAAAGAGTACAAAATCCTAAAAACATAATTAAAACAACACTCTTACAATATATAAAACATAACATTATTTACAAATTAAAAGCAGTTCTGAAAAGGTGAGTTTTGTTGGCTTCTGCGGAGCGGATGCAGCAGGAAGGAGTGTGGTGTTGGAGCAGGTCTTTGAGGTAGGAGGGGCCTGTTGATGGAGCAGGTCTGTGAGGTAGGAGGGGCCTGGTGTTGGAGCAGGTCTGTGAGGTAGGAGGGGCCTGGTGTTGGAGCAGGTCTGTGAGGTAGGAGGGGCCTGGTGTTGGAGCAGGTCTGTGAGGTAGGAGGGGCCTGGAGTTGGAGGGCTTTGGAGGTAAGGAGAAGGATCTTGAAATGAATGTGTTGGGGGACGGGGAGCCAGTGGAGGTCCTGCAGGACAGGGCTGATGTGGTCAAGGGAGCAGGTGTGGGTGAGGAGACGGGCGGCAGAGTTCTGAATATACTGGAGGTTATTGAGGAGTCTGGATGGTGTACCATGGAGGATTCTGTTGCAGTAGTCTAGATGAAATGAGAATCATTATATTTATTTCAAGGAATAATTCTTAGTGATGCACTCACATACAATTATCTATGTCATTGCACTCTTTTATTTGTTTTTACTGGGGACAGTTTAGAATGAAAATGAATATCCAAAAATGATTCCCTGGTGTTTTCTGATGGAGAAAAATTACGTTTGTTGTCCACAGCTGACGATAAAATGACTGGACTGCATTCTGCGGATTGATATGACCTTGATTAGCAACAGTCTGTTCTACTTAGCAACAGTCTGTTAGCGGAAACAAGTAGACCTCTGGAATGTCCAAGTTGACCAGAGTTGAATATTCAACAAAGCTGTGTAATAATCCAGGACTAAAAACATGCAATATTTCTTAAGTAACATCTTTAAATTACACTGAATTAGAATAAAGTACAAGTGTGTGATCATGGTATTAAAATAATGACTACCAACAGTGAGTCTCCCTGAGAGACACACACACACAATTAGGGGATTTGTTGAGAGTAAAAATCTCTGAGAATATGGCAAACGTATCCTAAAAGTATGTATGTGATATGTTTTACAGCTGCAATGAAGGTTTTATTGTGACTGACTTCACCGGGAGAAATCAGACACATTATTTTAACTACAGTCACTTTCAACTAACCTAATAAAGACTAACTATAAAATCAGCGGTTTATTTGTTCAAACACCTGTGCTGCCAACAACAGCAGAACGACACATCTCCACCCTTTCCTCATACTTCAGGTGTAAATGAGTAACCAGGTGCTTGTGTTTGCTTTTGCGGATTTCTTTTATTTATCAGTACATTTTATTTCACTCTTTCAACTGTCATCTTCTTACTCCATCCCCTTCCTGCCTCTCTGACGTAGTCCTCACCCACTGATGAGGAAACTGTTTATTTTGCGCGTGGAGCTGCTCATGCATTTCAGATGCTGGTGTTAGTTGCTGAGGTCCTGTTGTGGTTGCTACTGTGTTGAGGAATGACTGGAGACTGCACTGTTATCACAAACAGGAAGTGGAAAAGTAGTGTTTGCATCACAAGTAAACAACGTGCAGCGGGGGTGTTCCGATCTGTGTTTGGCTGCTGCCTCGCACACTGCAGAGCAGAAAAATGGGCTGTCTCACACCATTTAGTGCGTGTGCGTGTGTGTGTGTGTGGTGTGTGTGTGTGTGTGTGTGTGTGTTGTGTGTGTGTGTGTGTGTGTGTGTGTGTGTGTGTGTGTGTGGTGTGGTGTGTGTGTGAGTGTGTGTGTGGGGGGGGTGTGTGGGGGGGGGGATTGTGTGTATATGTGTCTTGTGGTTTAGAGAGCTCAGACACATGGTTTCTTGTCTGTGTTTAACTCAAATCAGAAACATCTCCAGCACATGGTGAACAGCCAGACACACCTCTGCTCTAGTGAACACGAGTGAGGTAGACTCGATACCGTCGACCATCATATCCTGAAGCAGAGGCTGGCCAGAATTGGCATATCTAGCCATGCAGTGGGGTTCGAGTCTTCCAAGACCCGACCGGACAAAAAGACGTGCTGCAGGCACGAAACATACTACCAATAGAAATACATTGCTTTTAAAATCGTTCTGTGTGACACGAAAAAAAGGGGAAAATCGTGATGGTGAACACGAATCAATAGATTAAATGTCGTGATTATAACACGAAATGCCGTGAGACTGGGTTGGATTATATTGTGAGTCTTGTAGTAACAAATGCAGCCACCAAATTATCTTCTTTTTTACCAGATGTCATAAAATGTATGTGTTGCAGTTATGTTATTTTATTAGCTTTTGTTGCAATTCAAGCAAAACATAAGGATGTGAACACCAAACCTGAAGTCTTCAAAATAAAATTGTGGCAAATTAAGTAGTTTGTTTACAAAATAATATTTATGTCTGTCAATCTTCATCCCTGAAACACACACACACACACACACACACAGCCCTGAGGGTTTGGGTTGCTGTTCCTTCCTCCCATTGAGGACGCATGCAGGAAGTCCTTGTTTGCGTATTGGACCGCTGCCATGTCTTATTCCTCTTCACATGCCTCACATTGTTCTCCCCCAGCATTACATTCTCATGGTGTGCATGTAGTAGTGTTTGTGCTCTGGGTTTATTGCTTGAGAGCCACACTTGTGGAATCCGATGCGTCTGAATGAGTGTGTTTGTGCTGCAACTGTCATCGTGCGGAGGGGAACATTGTGATCCCACAGGAGAAAACACTAACAGGGATTGTTGGTTTTAAACGGACTGCCCAGTGGAGGCCTTGGAGGTTAATCATTGTCCGAACCCAACGGTTTGACAACCATAAACCTCTGGGAGCAAGAGGCAATATTTTGGGATTCTGGTGTAGCTAAAAGATCATCTGAGCCAAGACTTCCTCCTTCGTGAGCCAGTCAATTGTTATCAATCAATTAGCAACTTGAGATGTGAGAATGAATTCGGAGTTAGGAGACGAATGTGTCACCGGATTGTGTTACAGGTAGCCAATTTACAAGCGAATAAAAAGATGAAAGCAGAGCTGATGTTAATCAAAGCATCAAAGCAATTTCTCTTTTATTTATTTTAATCTAAAATGGATGACCTGTCATCATACCTTACCATACCAGATGTATAAAGTATTGTATTTAGATTCTCATTATGATAATGATTCTGATCTGAAATACACTGTTTCATCACACAACAGCCCGGTATCAATTTAAATTCAACAGAGGTTGCAATTGAAGTTCCAGTATATGAGAATTCATGTACATATTAGTTTCTTGGAATCTTAGGAGGGAAGAGCATCGAGACAAACAGCTGGTGGAGTACACTCTCCAGTAAACCTTTATAAATAAAGAGATGAGGAGCTGAACCTTAATAGAATTCACCATCCTTCATGCACGTCTTAAAGAAGACATATTATGCTATTTTTTAGGTACATATCTGTATTTTGTGCCTCTACTGTAATATGTTTACATACTTTTGCATAAATCTGAAGTAGAGTGTGTGGGAAAGAAACTCCCTCTGGAGGGAACACAGGGGATGTTAGCCTTTGCAGACCGTTTACATGCACAAAAACCTATAACACTACAGGAAAGGGAAAACCCTAAAAAGCATAGGGCCCCTTTAATTTATCTACTACATCTGTTCAATTGATATTTGTCATGTTTCACTTTTAATGATACACCACAGAAGAGAGTAAAACTGTTATGCACTATTCCAAGCTTTTGGAAAAACACTAAAAGGTAATGGTGCACTTTTGTACTAATGTGATCTCCCTCAAGGAGGAAGGTATCTATTCTGTGTGACCCTGATAAGTTAATTAAAAGGCCTGGACAGAATTGAGGTGTTAATCTTGTCTGTTACAGCTTATCTGCATTGTTTTCTATTAGGATTTGATCTAAATGGAGTCATGTGCTCTCATTCTAAGAGAGCTGGGCCTCAGTGACACACATTCAGACAGATGTCCAGATGATTAGGAGTAGACTAACAACGCCTCTCAGTCAGTGTTAGTCACACAAGTGCTTTGGGAACTAGTTTAATTTGAAAGGGAGGCACTGATAGTAAATACTGCCCTGTCATGGTAACATGCTTGGTGCGTATGCATTGTTTTTACGGCATGCTTCCAGGCAGCCAATGATCATAAGATTAAGATCTAAATGATTTATTTCTGACATGGATTCATTTAGTCACACACTCCAAGTCATTTAATAGGTTATTATGATATCCTTCATGATGAACGATATCTTTCTCATGACACGATGTGGGGATTTTTGATGATATTCCGATGAAGGAAAAGAAGAACAAGAGATACAAATAAGACAACATGTATTAACATGTCTTCTTGATACAGTGACAAAGAGGAAGAGGAGGAGATGGATACGGAACGATGTAGGAAAAAGTGTCTCTGTGCATGTTCCTAGATCTGAATCTTATTTGTATATTTCCTCACGAACTGTGGAATCTTGGCTTGCAGACACCAGTCATCGAGTCACACAGCTTTAGAGACATGACTCAAGCAGCCCAACAAGAAGGCAGTGTGAGGCAAACAAAACATTTGAGATGGAGACACAGAAACAGACACAGAGAGATGTTGGAGTGCTGGAGAGATGTAAGTCTTGTTTATGCAGCAGTGTGGGTAGTAAAGACAAAGAGTGGATGTGATGTTCCCTTCAGTCAGGGTCACCAGCCTCCCTGTGGCAGGAGTCCTCCATGCCCCACCAGAATATGATACCAGTCTGGATAAAAGCAAGTTATTAATAAACATTCACCAGAGTGGAAACTCCACAGTGAAAGATGGTAAACAACCTTTAATACAGTGGTCATGCAGCGACATATAATCAATACATGATACTGCACATAGATAATGGAAACTGAAAACACAGTGTCACCTTATAGGAGTGCTATGCTGAACAACAGTCACCAAAAGCAGAGGTGGAAGAAGTACTCAGATCTTTTATTTAAGTAAAAGTAGAACTACCACAGAATAGGAATACTCTGTTACAAGTAAAAGTCCTGCAGTCAAAATGTTAAGAGTACAAAAGTATTAGCATCAACATATACTTAAAGTACCAATAGTCGTTGTGCAGATTGGTCCATTTCAGAATAATATATATGATATGTTTTATAATGATTGATCATGAAAGTGTTCTCAAAGCTGGTAAAGGTGCAGCTAGTTTGAATGACTTTGTATACTGCAGGGTAGCTTGTGAATTTACTCCAGGTGGAACTAAAGTCTGATTTAAGAGTTCTTGATTTTTTTTGTGCGCTATGACTTCATACTGAGCTTACATTTTTAAAGTCATGAACACTGTCTTTCTCATTTGTCCAGTATTTATTGTACTCCTCTCCTAAAATAACTGGCCCAAGCACAGCCCCCCCCCCCCCCCCCCCCTAATAAAATTGGTCTCGACCTGCTACTGGATGCCAATAAAAAATATAGTAAAATATATATTTATAAATATTTCTTTGAAAGAGCATAAGAGGGGTTCAAATATTAATAGGTCAACACCACTGATCTTCTTAAAATGATGATGTTTTTGTATAAAACATCTTTTTACTTTCATTTAATCATTGAGAGACAGACTGAGAGACAGACTGAAAGACAGACTGAAAGACACAGTACAAGTCAGTAATAATATATTTAACTAGTTGTTTTGTTGGAAAGCCTGTGATGTGTGACTTCATGGAGCAGAGAACATGTTGTTTTCATTGAACAAGTCTCAAGAATGACTGTGGTGGGCTTGCTTGTGTTGGACTGACAGTATGAGTGTTGGGAGGAGAATGCAGTATTCTGCATGCTGCATGCAGCAACCCAATTAGGTGTGTCCTTCAAAGACCTGCGCCTACATCACCACATTCCCTTTTAGTTAAGTCTCTGGAAATGGAAATGGGGAATTTTGGGAGGCGAAGAGGAAGGGTGTATCCAAAAAAGTTTTATGAGTGCTGGATCAAACATGGCATTAAGGGAATCCAGACCCTGTTTGTACTTTATACTATTTTAATTGTGATGGAAACAACTGGCAAAACAAGAAATGGTTTTCATTTTCAGGCAGTCAGTGTACATGGAACATATTTGTCACAGATGTAGAAATCATCAAAATACTTACAAAGCTGTAAGATCTATAAAACATGACATTGTCTGACAGCTGATCAGTTTTGAATGTTTGAATGGATACGAAGGAGCAACCACAGTGAGCTGCTCCATGAAAAGCTGCTTGTGACAGGCTGCATGTCTGCAACTTAGCCAAGTCCTCATCATACACTGCGGCTGAGTGGAACTCTGCTGGCCCTGTGTGCAACATGAAATCTGACAGTAGTTGTTTATGGGATGGTGGAAAAATTACACTTTTTTCTTAATTTAAACCACCTGAGAGTGTCTGGCTGTGTTGTAAGAACATACACCGTTGATCTACGGTGTGTGTGCACGTACTGCAGAACGTCTCTCATTATATGTGTTATAATGTTTTTTAACGGACGTTGTCTGATTATATAATCATATGCGCGGGCCGCTAGTGTCTGTTGATCTCCAGATTAACAGCATCATGAGAATAACCTGCCGATGCTCCATGGCGGAGGCTCCGGTAGAAATTGCCGGGATTTGCGATTTTACCCCCTTAATGTCTGACCAATGGTTGAACAGCATTTCCGTGCACATGACTTGTGTTTATAGTTCCGTTTGAGTTTTGCCCGTGTGAACCAAGCCCCCAGGAAGTGCGCCGGACTCAGATGAAAATATTCGTGCTGGCCAAACGGCGGTACTACACTTCCGTTTGGTTGCCAGGCCCGGAAACACTTTTTCCCATTGACTTACATGGGGAAAGAGTGGTCTGTAAATCGTTGGATATTTTTTTTTAACTAAATAAACTACCCAGTATGAACGTTTGTATAGCCCTTATTAAAAACATTCGTTCCTCAAGTTGTAAAAATGTGCTAATAACGTTATTTCCCTCTGCATTAGGACCGCGCCGCCCGGCACGTTCATGTTACGTGTCCCGACCAATCAGAGCACACTGTGCTCACAGGGAGGGTGGGGGCTGGAGCTATTGGAGCTACAACGAGCCGTTAAAGGCAGAGAGTAGGCTTGTTTGAGACAAGCGAGACCTGCGCAATTTCGATCAACGTCTTGCTAGTGCGTTGCATGATGGTTAGTCATTTTGTCCGACTTGCTCTGGAGGCTCGCCTACATGAGACGTTGAAATCTCGCGGGACAAAGACGCCCGCAGCCTTGAGAGCGAGGCGAGGCGAGGCGGCGCAGTTCCTCTCCATGGGCTGCGGAAGCGAAATGCTTGATGGGAAACGACTCGCTGGTATCTCGAGCTGAGCGCTCATTGGTGGTTTTTACCCCGTGCTGGTGATGAAACTCTCCAATTGGCTCGGCAAAAGTTTGTTGTTGTTTTGTGTCAGTTTTACGTCGCCACATCCATTCCCATTTTTCATCATTGTTCCACAATATTTATCATCATTAAATTAATATCCATATATTTTATACTATACTTGCACTGCTTACCGTTTTCATACTTTATATATCTTAGCATATTCATACACACTGTTCATACTGCTCTCAGGCTGCTGTGTATATCTAGTGTATTCATATCCCTCACTGTTTATTCATCATTCAATTCATTCTATATTTTATTCTGTAGATTGTGTACATTACTTTTCACTTTACTGCTTGTTGCACCTGGTTAGAAGCTAAACTGCATTTCGTTGTCTCAGTACCTGTAATCTGTGCAATAACAATAAAGTTGAATCTAATCTTGAGCAGGAACAAATGCATTTACTTAGTACATATCTGACATTAACGAATATACACATGTGTGCATTCTTTATAAATGCAAACCGAGTCAAGCCGACTCCGGAGGTGGCGGTATGCACCTTAAAGTTGTTTGCAATCCGCCAAAAAACCGAGAGAAGAAGAAGACGAAGCCGACTCCGAGCTGTCCGACTTCAGGCGAGCTTTTTGAGACCTCCCCCGGCTGCGAATGGCTATTCTCGTCTACTTTCGAGGCGAGCCGCAACGCGTCTCAAACAAGCCTAGTGACATTCAGTGAATACACTACAGAGATGCTGTTTGAGAACCAATGTGAGTTGCGTTTATCTTTACCCATGGATGCACAATAAGAACGGACCCATATCGTCTTACTGCCATCCCACGGAGCTGTAATAATGGATATATTGCACATGTTTGCTATAATTCATTATCAGACTACATGGGCTGTATGATTACATCTTGTACCATAAATGTTGTATTAAATAAAGTTAATATTACTTATTATTATAAGTATATATATATATATATATATATATATATATATATATATATATATATATATATATATATATATACATATACACAGTGCAATCATTATTTCATGCTAAATGAAGCTCTGTTGCTTGGATATCACTTGATCCTGTTACAGCGTAATATAAGTACATAACGATCGTGTACATTAGCATAATGACTAGCTAGCTGTTAACTGCCGCCTCGTTAATATCAAATCCATCATAATAACAAATCATTACCATGCTGTCATGAACGTGCGGTGCTGTTACGTGTACGCAAATTGACGTGCTTGATGTGAACGAGCATTTTGGTTAAAGTTGCGCATGCGCTATGAGCGCACATACGGGTACTTCTCAGGCATGCTGGGTAATCTGTGACGTTTCGCTCTCTCAAAAGTTGGGCCATTTTATCATCATGCGCTAATGAGCAACTCTCATAGGAATGAATGAGGCCCCCGCCACGCTGTATCCAGTTCTTATTATACATCCATGGTGTGAACGCAAAACGAACCTTCTGAAAAATGAAACAATGTAACAAACTGGCCTGGTGCGCACCTGAAAACGGACTAGTAGGTGTGAATGCACCCTGAGTGTTGTTCTTTAACTTTGCATTGTCTGGCAATACAAATTACTGGCAGTTCAAAGACCTCAATGGCAAAAATATAAATAAATAAATAAAGATTGAGATAAAAACTGTTGGTTTGACCCTCCTGTCAATCTGTCAATATTGTGCATAGTGTATGCGTTAATCCAATAGTCCTAATGAATTATCTCATTGATTTCTCAAATGTTTGACCTTTCCAATTTTTGGTTTAGTGTATGAGACCCTTCATACTCTCCACGTATTTTATGGTCATCTTCTGCCTTCTGTCTTTTACAGTTTTGGATCCAACCCCAGACGACCCCCTGGTGTCGGTTCTGCTGGTGAGCCTGGTGCCTCTGGTGGTGATGGGGATTGTGGTTGTGGGAATGTTCCACTGGTACCGAGCCTATCGGCAGCGCGGGATCCGAGAATGGGAGAGCAACATTAAGAAGCGCAAGCCCAAAGCTGCGGGGCTGGACTGCGACGCCTGCGCCATCATGATGGATGACGACGGATCGGACAGCAGCTCCACGCACGCCAACAGCCTCAACCACAACACAGAGCCGCTGCCTATAGAGCTGGAACTGCTGGTACAGAACTAGTTGTACTTCAGTTATTCTGTTATTTCCAAGTTAACTGAAATTCTCTCTAAAATCCTAACATTTGATCTTGTCCCAGGTGGGGAAGGGTCGCTTCGCCCAGGTGTACAAGGCCAAGCTGAAGCAGAGCACCTCAGATCAGTTTGAAACAGTCGCTGTGAAGATCTTCCCCTACGAGGAATACGCCTCCTGGAAGAACGAGAAGGACATTTTCTCCAACACAGACCTGCGACACGAAAATGTCCTCCATTTCCTGACAGCTGAGGAGAGGAAGGTGGAGAAACAGTACTGGATCATCACGGCCTTCCACCACAGAGGAAATCTACAGGTGAGGCTGATAGTGACAGGAAACCATACATTAGTGCGAGGAAGTATTTAAACTCTGCTGTACTCCAACACATCCATATGTTCTGTGTACAAAATCTAAATTGGTAAGTGACTAATAATTAAAGCTGTCAGATAGAAATATCCCGTAGAAATAAAAAATAAAGTACAGGTATTTTAAATGTGTACTTAAATACAGTACTTAAGTTAATTACTAAGTTAAATTCCACCACAGGTAAACTGCAATTCCTACCAAATTTTTTATTTTCATTCCTAAGTTTCAGGAATCAGTACTCGGATCAGTAAAAGTACAAATACTATTTTTTAAGTACTTCATTATTGGTAAAAGACCTGATTTCAAAATGTTACTAAAGTACCAAAGTATTAGCATCAAAGTGTAGTACTCATTCTGCACAATGACCCATTTCAGGATAATAAAAAGTACAGAAGTATTATCAACTAAGTGTACTAAAAGTATGAAAAGTAAAAGTAGGCCTACTCATTATGCAGCATGGATCGTGTACAAGGTAACAAGTAACTATAAGTGTTAACGAAATGTAATGTATTCAAAAGTAAACATTTTCCTCTAAGATGTAGTAGTACTGTAGTAGAGTAGAAGTATTAAGTAGCATTTAATGGAAATACTCCCTAAATGACCAAAATGTCAATACTTGAGTAAAGTACTTTTCATCACTGGTTTCATCATGAATCAGTTTGAACCGTCCCATGTTCCCTGTGCCCTCCAGGAGCACCTGACTCGTCATGTGATCAGCTGGGAGGAGCTGCAGGTGCTGGGCATGTCTCTGTCCCAGGGGGTGGCCCACCTCCACAGTGACCGCCTGCTCTGTGGACGGCCTAAGGTACGACTGAGTGAATATATCCTGTTGACAGACAGCATATCAGAGCTTAGAAATACCAACCATAATCACCATCGTCATGTCAAATAGCTACAGAAAGAAAAGCACCTATACAAGTTCATGCTGTAATGATCGTCATTAAACAAACACTCTTGAGCCTCATTGGCTATTGGCTATTGTCTAGTGTAATGAACACAATGAAATGTCATAATATGTAAATGTTTTTATTTAATTGGTTCTTTTGACACCCATACTGCTGTTGTGCCTAAAGGTGCCCATAGTGCATCGGGACCTGAAGAGCTCCAACATCCTGGTGAAGAACGACCTGACGCTGTGCCTCAGTGACTTCGGGCTGGCTCTCCGTTTGGACAGCTGTCTGACTGTGGATGACCTTGCCAACAGTGGACAGGTCTGATTTTATTCCTTTATAATATGACTTAACACGCTTTTTATCATTCAACATGTGTTATCCACTGACTTAGTTTGCTCTTTTGTATTTGAGCAAGACATTGGAGTTCTACCTGCAGTGTTCTAGATCAGAATAACAGCAAATGATTCAAAGCCTGCAACTGGTAAACATCACTCCCCTCCAGACTGTATAGTGTTCAATGTGTGGGCCATGGCTGTATAATAAAGGGAACTGGATACAGCGTTGAAGGCGGGGCCCTGTCATTTCTAAGAAAGTTGCTCAATGGCGCATGAAGCCAAAATGACCTGACTCTCCAGAACAAAAATACCCGTTGCAGCCACTCTCAGCTCAATCAAATGAATGGAGAGGGAAAATAACTCTGGAGTCGGCCTTTTGCACATCTTATAACTTTTAGGCCTTAATGATTGAAAGTCCTGGGGGCTTGTTTGATACAGCTGTTTTTATGTTCTTATCTTTCTACCTCATGACAGTAAGTGTATGCTATGCTCAGTGTTTGTGTGTGTACTTGTGTGTTAACATATCTGTTCTGCAGGTGGGCACGGCACGCTACATGGCTCCGGAGGTGCTGGAGGCCCGACTGAATCTGGAGAACATGGAGTCCTTCAAACAGACGGACATTTACTCCATGGCCCTGGTGCTTTGGGAGATGACTTCGAGGTGTGAAGCTATCGGAGGTCAGTTACAAACATATTCATTTAAAATGACAGTTTAAGGACAAAGTGTGATGTAATGGTACATTAACATAGAGAGCACCTGCTGAGGTGAAGCGTAAACCACATGACACTGACAACTGCAGCAGTGGAGGAAGCTGTTCGGCTACTATGAGGAAAGTGTTGAAGTGTCCAAATTAGTCCAGCTCATGTTCGCATTACTCTCATGACACAAGAGTGTTTAAAAAAACCACTCTTGATACGTTTTACGGAGCATTTGCATCAACTTTTTCTCAAAATAAAGTTCTTTTTACATGATTGTGCATACTGTAGTCTTATGCACGCGCTTCCAAGCAAACACATGGACAGTGCATTTTGGGAATAGAATCATAAAGATTAAATGATAGCCAGGACAGTGCTTCCCCTCAGCAGAGGGAACTATTCATCTAATTAAAGATCTAATTAACTTCACGGTATGGAGTAGGTACTTTATTCATATATTCTTGAAAAACTAAAACCTACATTTAACCCACAAACTAAATCTTAACCATCAACTCTTTGGACTGGACTAAATGTCCTCACTTTCCAAACATGTAATCTGTTTCAGCACATAAAACTAAAACTAGATCCCATACATTTAAATTTAAATAAAGAAGTACACGCTTTTCTATTCCGTGCGGTCAGCCCCGCTCCCTCCGCCTAGTGGACTTTTGTAGACAGTCTGAGACTTTTGAAATGGGACAGACACATTCCAACATGCAAGTATGTGTCTGTCTGTGTTTATTTCAGAGAGAGGAACATAGAAACAGACAGGAGGTACTACAGGAACACATTCTCTGGCCCAGTTTCTACTCTATGTCTTAATCTGGGAGTGTGTGTGTGTGTGTGTGTGTGTGTGTGTGTGTGTGTGTGTGTGTGTGTGTGTGTGTGTGTGTGTGTGTGGTGTGTGTGTGGTGTGTGTGTGTGTGTGTGTGTGTGTGTGTGTGTGTGTGTGTGTGTGTGTGTGTGTGTGTGTGTGTGTGTGTGTGTGTGTGTGTGTGTGTGTGTGTGTGTGTGTGTGTGTGTGTGTGTGTGTGTGTGTGTGTGTGTGTGTTGTGTGTGTGGTGTGTGTGTGTGTGTGTGTGTGTGTGTGTGTGTGTGTGGTGTGTGTGTGTGTGTGTGTGTGTGTGTGTGTGTGTGTGTGTGTGTGTGTGTGTGTGTGTGTGTGTGTGTGTGTGTACCCTAACCCTAAACCTAACCAAGTCTTCACCCTAAAATTAATGAATCCCCTCATGGGGACCTCCATTTTGTCCCCATAAGGGAGGCGAGTCCCCACACGTGACTGTGTAAACAGATTTAGGTCCCCACAAGTATAGTAATGCTAGGCCACACACACACACACACACACACACACACACACACACACACACACTACAATATAAGAGTAATTTATATTTAACAATCTTAAGTTAATATTTTCTAATTTGATACTTTGGCAACACTACTTCCTGACACTTTAAAGCCCGTTTGCAGAGAGGTATACAGGAAGAGAGAGAAACCGAAGGAGTGTGTGTGTGTGTGTGTGTGTGTGTGTGTGTGTGTGTGTGTGTGTGTGTGTGTGTGTGTGTGTGTGTGTGTGTGTGTGTGTGTGTGTGTGTGTGTGTGTGTGTGTGTGTGTGTGTGTGTGTGTGTGTGTGTGTGTGTGTGTGTGTGTGTGTGTGTGTGTGTGTGTGTGTGTGTGTGTGTGTGTGTGGTGTGTGTGTGTGTGTGTGTGTGTGTGTGTGTGGTGTGTGTGTGTGTGTGTGTGTGTGTGTGTGTGTGTGTGTGTGTGTGTGTGTGTGTGTGTGTGTGTGTGTGTGTGTGTGTGTGTGTGTGTGTGTGTGTGTGTGTGTGTGTGTCCTCTGTCACCATCCCAACAACAGCAAGCAGGATGGTGGATGGAAATACGACCCTGCGTTGTTGTTGTTGTTGTTGTTGTTGTGAGTTAAAGTGTATTCTCTATGTGTCTCTGAGCACTTTATTGACTCATCCTGAATTAGCCTGCGGGCGTGGCAGGGTCTGCATGTTCTGAGCTCAGGGTCAGGCAGGGTGATGCGGCGTGGCCAAGAGTTAGCAGCGTGCTAAGAGAAAGCCTTGTGGTCCATGAGGGGAGACAGAAGACATGTCAGAGGTAGAAGAAAAGTTTGATATTTGGAGAAATGAACTTTCGTGCTGAGGGAAACATGAGAGGTTAGAGACCCCTCTCATTTGTCTAGAGATGAAGCCAGGAGACGATTATCTGGAATAAAGGGGAAATATTTGGCTTTGTTCTGTCAATATTTCAAAACTACCAGTGGGTCCAACGTTCATTCATTATTATTTTATAACTTTGTCTATTCCAAACAGAAAAACAAAGATACAGTTTCTTGCTGTAACTATTTCCAGTTGCAGTGACTTTGTGGGGTTTGGTCTGATAAGAAGTGATGAATGAATACATGAACAGTTGTTCATTTTTTTAATTGTATTTATTAGTTACAGAATGCAACATTTCAGTTCAAATGCAAACATGATAGAAGTTCTCTACTTGTGAGCATTAAACGTTATTGTAGTAGGGAGTTTATGAGAACCAATACTTCGGTAAGTTGAAGCCAGAATTATGAAAACTCAACTTTCTCTACAGCATGCAGTGCTCCCAGTAAACCTTCAGGGTGTAAGCTCCTGGTTCACAGTGGTTCTGTAGAGTTGCACTATGCTGCGTTTAAGCTCTATTCAGTCAATACTGTACGAAGATCAACTATAATGTTATTTTTATGTTCCATATAGTCTTGTTAAATGTAGGTTTTTGGCAATAAACTTGAAGGAATGCAGTTTATTTGAAAAATGTTTCAAGACTTCTAAGGCTTTATTGTCCTATGCACGACAGCTACTGTACAGTGTAGTTTTGGCAATGAAGATCTTAAGTCTCAGGCTCTTCCGACAATGCAACATAAATATACATCAGACATAAGCAGAAAGAAGTCAACTATAAACATGTAAAATAGTATGATAAAATAAAATGTAAAATGTAATGCTCTATAGTGGAATAAAATACTGCATATTGTAATAAAATATGAATAATAATATAATCCTGAGGGATTTCTTCCTGAGCCGCTGGGTGTGGAGGTCCTCTACGGATGGCAGCTCCGTCCTGGGGATGTGCTGTGCACTTTTCACCACCCTCTGTAGAGACTTAGGGCTGAGGGCGGTGCAGCTGCCAATAGTCAGGAACCTCTCTATGGTGCATCTGTAGAAGGTCAGGATCCTCTCTATGGTGCACCTGTAGAAGGTCAGGATCCTCTCTATGGTGCACCTGTAGAAGGTCAGGATCCTCTCTGTGGTGCACCTGTAGAAGGTCAGGATCCTCTCTATGGAGCACCTGTAGAAGGTCAGGATCCTCTCTATGGAGCACCTGTAGAAGGTCAGGATCCTCTCTATGGTGCACCTGTAGAAGGTCAGGATCCTCTCTATGGTGCACCTGTAGAAGGTCAGGATCCTCTCTATGGTGCACCTGAAGGTCAGGATGCTCTCTATGGTGCACCTGTAGAAGGTCAGGATGCTCTCTATGGTGCACCTGTAGAAGGTCAGGATCCTCTCTATGGTGCACCTGAAGGTCAGGATGCTCTCTATGGTGCACCTGTAGGTCAGGATGCTCTCTATGGTGCACCTGTAGAAGGTCAGGATCCTCTCTATGGAGCACCTGTAGAAGGTCAGGATGCTCTCTATGGTGCACCTGTAGAAGGTCAGGATCCTCTCTATGGTGCACCTGAAGGTCAGGATGCTCTCTATGGTGCACCTGTAGGTCAGGATGCTCTCTATGGTGCACCTGGAGGTCAGGATCCTCTCTATGGTGCACCTGTAGGTCAGGATCCTCTCTATGGTGCAACTGTAGAAGGTCAGGATGCTCTCTATGGTGCACCTGTAGGTCAGGATCCTCTCTATGGTGCACCTGTAGGTCAGGATCCTCTCTATGGTGCACCTGTAGGTCAGGATCCTCTCTATGGTGCACCTGCAGAAGTTGCAGAGTATCCTGGAGTCCATGTTGAACCTCCTCAGCCTGCGGAGGAAGAAGAGCCGCTGTCGAGCTGTTTTAGTGATGGTGGTGGTGTGAAGAGTCCATGTCAGGTCCTCAGTGATGTGGACACCGAGGAACCTGAAGTTGCTGACTCTCTCTACAGTAGTCCAGTTGATGGAGATGGGGGTGTGTCCCCTTCTTTGTCACTTCCTGTATCCTGTAATCAGCTCATTATTTTAGCTGACATTGATAGGGGTCGTTGAAGTGTCCTACCTTCAAGATACTGAACACCAAATTGCTTTCGAAGGCATGGCCAACGATGTGTGTGAATGCTGAGTTGTTCTGTAAAAAAAAACTAGAAAAGCGCTTTATAATTGCAGTCAGTTCACATTAACCGTTCTTACGATGTACTTTGTTCTGCATCAATGGGTAATCAGTCTTTCCTCACACACTCTTTGAGAATCTTTGACAATCATGGAGCTGTGTTTCTTTCAACATACCAGATCCCAGACATGGCAGCCACAGAGGTTTCTCCTAACCTCCGGGCCACAAAGGTTTCAGACAGATAATCTGAAAAGGAAACTGGCGTAAACCACTCTCCGCCCCTTAGATTGGAAATACCATGCTTTAACCATGGGCCCCAGACAACCAAGGGGAAAGTGAGACTGAGGCTCTAGTTGCAGAAATATAGAATTAGAATTGGGAGGGATGAAACCCTCTTTAATGGTCACACATGCAGAGCACACAGCACACATAGGGACATTTGTTCTCTGCATTTAACCCATCCTAGTACCAGGAGTCTAGGGCTGCAGTCGAATAGTCCAAAAATCAGCTCCTAACGTCTATCCCTATCGTCTATTCCTTGACCTCTGAGTGAAATGTCACGGGGTTAAGGGATAGTGGATAGGATCATTCAAAAGGACTTAGGAGAAGAGACTGCGGTACTTTAGAGAATCGACTGCACTTTCACTATCCGACGTGTTTATGATGCGCCAGTGGACGTCATGAATGTGCG